TTGATCCCCAGCACCACTAAAACAAGCACACACTGAAAAAAAAGTTATAGAAAAGCAAGTGAGAGAGCAACTTCTATCACACATGCACTTTACACTTAAAAACTATCCAGGGTAACTCAGCTATGATGAAAGATGAAATCATGCAGTTTATTTTCATGTGGCTGGAACTCAAGGTTGTCATGCTGAGTAAAGTCAGTCAAAGGGAGGGGATGCAGAATGATTTCTCTCATGGGTAAAATATGATAAAACATCAGAACCAGGCCTACTGGGAGATGGTGTGTGACAGAAGAACACCTCTGTACACTGCTGAAGAAGCACTGGCACTCTGGTGGTGGGTGTGGTGCTGGGACATTTGTACATGAAACAAACATTAACAGTCTTGTAAACCACAGTTCCTACAAACATTTTTTTAAAAAAAGTGTAATTCCCCACTTCAACAATGTATGCAAAATATATGTTAAAGAACATTGAATAAAACAATACACATTCAATTGTCTATATTTTTAAGCCTTTTAGTAAATGAAAAGTAGACGAGAACTTTAACACATTGATGCCAGTAATTTGGGACTATTAAACCACAGTCAGGTGTGACCCACGGTTGGCATGCACTGACGTTAACATGGTAATCCAATAAAGTTTGTGTACGGGACAATGAATTATTGAATGTTCTCTTCCTGAGATCAGGCATCAACATGAATCTCTTTGATGATCCTTCATGTGGTATTATACTTGAGATCATAACCAAAGCAATTGGGCAAGAAAAACCAACTTCTATGGAGCTGGAAAAGAAGAAATAAAATTGCCATTATTTTAGATCAGATGACTGACTGTGTAAGGAAGCCCATAATCATCCCTTCAACTGGGAAACAGAATCACCACCACTCTATTAAGGTTCTCCAGAGAAAAAGAACCAAAAAGAGCTATTTCTTCTCAGATATTGTGAATGCATATATGTTCTGATTCATGAGTCTTTCCAGAATTGACTCATGCAATTAATGAGTCTGAGATGTCTCCTACCATCCCCTGCTAGGGAGCTGGAGACCAAGAAGAGAATGGCATTTCGTCTGAGTCTGAAGGCCTGAACCTGGAGAGTTGAGGAAAAAACAGGCTCAATGCCAGGCTCATGTAGCAGGGATGAAGGAAAGGGCAGACTCCCGAACCACTTTTTGTTTTGTTTAGATCCTCAGAGCATGGAAAGCTGCCCATCTATCATGAGGAGGGCCCCCTACTTAACTGAGCACTCCTGCCCACACCCATCAAACGTTCATCTCCTCAGGACACACCCAGACTTATTGTTTAATATGGCACATTGAGGCCCATGAAGCTGACACACCAAATTAACCATCACTAGCACTGACATCATCTGGGGTTTATTAACAACGTGGCGTCTGAGGGCTTGCCTCAGCAAGGAAAACTTCTGCAACAAACATGCTGGGAAAACTGGTCAATAATGTAAAAGAATGAATTCAGAACCCTTTCTAACTTGCACCATGCACCGAAATAAAATCAAAGTGATATAAAAACATTGATATGGGGGGGGGAATGAACAAATGAGACTACATAAAACTAAGAAACTCCCACACCACAATGGAAATGATAACTAGGATAAAAAGATGCCCACAGACTGGGAAAGAATATTTTCCCTCCACTCAAGTGAGAAAATGTTTTATATAAAACACCGGTAGAACTTTAAAGAAAAAGCCATAACAATAGGCATCAAAAACCCAGGGGAAAAATTGAACAGAAACTTCCAAAAAGAAGACATGCAGATGGCCAAAAGGTATATGAAAATATATTCACATCACTAATCATCAGAGAAATGCTAATCAAACAACGAGATATCATTTCATACAAGTACGACTGGCACACATCACAACTGACAAAAGCAACCAGTGTTGGCGTGGATGTGGGGGAAAAGGGACCCTCATTCACTGCTGGTAGGAATGTTGACTGGCCCAGCCTATTTGGAAAACAATATAGACACATCTCAAAAATTAGGAATTGAATTTCCATATGACTCACTAATTCCACTCTTGTTATTTACCCCAAGGGCCCAAAAACTCTATTCAGAAAAATATATTTGCATGCCGATGTTCACTGCAACACTATTCACAATGATCAAAATATGGAAACAATTCAAAGTTCCAGGAACAGATTATTGGATAAAGAAACCATGGCACAATGGAACACTATGCGGCTTTAAGAAAAGATGAAATCTGCTGAGTGAAATGATTCAAAAGGAAAGGGACAGATGGAGAATTACTGCATTCATTTGTCACATAAAAATATAAAAATAATATATAGTAGAAGACTCCATGGTGAGGGAAAATGGGCTAGTAGGACTGGTCAACGGTTGGAACTAACCACAGGTGTGTGTGGGCTGAGGGTAGGTAAGATAGAAAAGAGATCTGTATGACAATAATAGCAAGGAATGATCGCGTTGGACAAGATCTGAGTGTTAAAAGTAGGTAAAGGGATATACAGGATATTCTTGATAACCTTTCAGTATCAATATCGCAAACCACAATGCCCAAAAGGGGAGGGGGGAGAGAGAGAGAGAGAGAGAGAGAGAGAGAGAGAGAGAGAGAGAGAGAGAGAGAGAGAGAGAGAGAGAAAGAGAGAAGAAAAGCTTGTGCCAAAGAGACAGGCAGAGGGTTGGGGGTAATGGGAGTGAACCTGGGGACACTGGTGCTGGGAAATGTACACTGGTGGAGGATGGATGTTGGAATACCATATGACTGAAATTCAATCATGAACAACTTTGTAAAGGTATATCTCACAGTGATTCAATAAAAAAGTAAAAAAAAATTAAAAAGATGAAATCATGTAATATTCTGCTATGTGGATACATCCGAAGAGTATCATGCTGAGTGAAGTTCGTCAAAAAGAAGAGGGACAGAAACAGAATGATCTTTCTCATATGTGGGATATAAAGAATTGTAGTAGGTGAATAATAAATGCCCAAAGTCAGCAGAAAATGAAAACTAATTTTCAGTAGGAAGCTTACCATGGGAATGTAAAAAAGTGTGGGACAATGGGACAATGGTAGGAAAAAGGGAACACTTTAGTGGGGGGGGCGTTGCGGTGCTGGAATAGTTCATTTATGAAACCTGATCTACTGTTAACAGTTTTGTAAAGCATGATGCCTAAAATAAAATTTAAAAATAGTTTTACTTGAATAAGAGATATGAGAACATGTACGCACACATTACAGTGTGAGAGGCTCTAAGCATTGAAATCTCTCAAATCCAGGACTAGAGAGCGAGTGTAGTGGATAAGTCGCTTACCTTGTAGTTTGATCCCTGGTACCCCATATGGTCCCCCCAAACCTGGCAGAAGTGATCCCTGAGTGCAAAGCTAGGAATAATCCTTGAGCACAGCCTGGTGTGACCCCAAACAGAAACTCTCAAATCTAGAACTGAGATTAAAGTGATTGTGCTGGCTAGAGAGATAATGCAGAGGGTAAGACACTTGATTTGCATGTGACAGATCTTGGTTCAAATTCCCAACAGTGCATAAGATCTCCCAAGTACCACCTGGGATCACTCTTGAACACAGAGCCAGGAAGACCTTGAGCACCTCAAGGGCCAAGCCCTCCCCCCAATAGATAATATTTTAAAATAAAGTAATCCTGGGTCTCTTGCATGCCTAGATACCTGGTAAATGCAACAATTAACAATATTTTAGGAGTAAAATAGCAGTTCTCACATTATTAATATCAGCAATTTTCATTATAATGTGTAACTCAAGGTGACTGAACACAGGCAATCAAACACCACAAACCACCACAATCAGTAGCAACAGACAGAGGGAACAGAACCAAGACTTGGGGTGTACGATTTATAAGATATAACCTATAACACAACCATGCTCACTGTGTTCTCAGTTAAAGAGCAAGTTTGAACATTTTGGCAGCCAATGGGAACTCCAAAAGCGACAAAGAAGAAAAGGAAGGAGGAAGGAAGGAAGGAAGGGAGGGAGGGAGGAAAGGAAGGAAGGAAGGAAAATCTCGAGATTTCTCAAAAATACTCCAAAATTAAGAATGACATAAAATGTGTTTAACACTAGAAAAGACAAATAGCTGAAGGTCCAAAAGAGAGGTCAAAAGAAAGGTCTAGAGGCAGAAGGTTTGGAGGAAGAAGAATCAGGGAAGAGCCCATTACGTCTGTGTCATCTTTTCTTGTTCTACATATAAGTACAGGTTTAATGATCACCTACACCTTCATACAGTAGAGTACTTTGTGCAAGTCAACATAGCCTTTTGACTAGTTTTAACAGAAAGGACAGAGAGTACAGGTATTGCACAATCGCTTTAACCTGGTGATTATTAGTTCAACGCAAGCACAGTAATTTTGAGCACCTCTAGCCATCTTATCTGGCAAAGGCATGCAGTGGCCAAGTCCTGTGGTAAAAACAAAGAGCCTGCCGGGTTAAGTGTGATGAGGGTGTGGCCGACTACAGTTTCCTGGCTTGCTGGACCCTCTGCACTACCTTAGGGTCAGAGGCTAAGACATCCGGGGAAAGGCATCCGGGGAACTCTGGGGATCGCTTTGCAGACTTTAATAATATGGTCGAACTTAAAATTATCAGCAAAGCAGTGTGGTGTACCACCCCAGAAGAATACAACTGTCCCCAACTATCCTTACTTTTCAGGCTTCTAAGGAAATCTGTTGAAAAGTTAGCACTGTAGCACTGTCCTCCCGTTGTTCATGGATTTGCTCCAGCAGGCCCAGTAACGTCTCCATTGTGAGACTTGTTGTTACTGTGTTTGGCATATCGAATACGTCACGGGGAGCTTGCCAGGCTTTGCCATGCGGGCGAGATACTCTCGGTAGCTTGCAGGGCTTTCCGAGAGGGGCGAAAGAATCGAACCTGGCTCGGCCGGGTCGGCGGCTTGCAAGGCAAACGCCCTACCACTGTGCTATCGCTCCAGCCCTTGAAAAGTTAAATAAACAATAATAAAAAATCCAATCCCATTCTCCTCCCCCACATCCACTCCCAAATGTAGGATTGCTGATCTTGGGCCAGCAAAGAACAAGGTAACCTCAAATTTCACCAACTCCATGTGTTTTTACATCCAATTCTTACATACCCGAAGTCAGGAAACCCTAGCCATGCCTTTGTAGAAGGGTCGACCCTATTCTGTCTACAGATGGAGTTGGCTTTGTTCAGCAACTTCTGAACCAGGAAGCATCCTCTCTGACAGGCAGGCGCAGAGGAAAAGTCACACAAGGGCTGGGAGAAGGCTTACAGGGCTGGAGGGAGGTCCAGATCTAGTCCCCACCATCTAAAGGATCCCTGAGTCCTGCAGTGTGGATATCCCCCCACCCTCATCCCCGGCTTATACAGAATGGAGAGGTTTTCTTTTGGAGGGGGAGGTGGGCAGTGGGGTCACACCTAGATGTGTTCAGGGTTTTGCTCCTGGCTCTGTGTTCATGGACCACTCCTGGTGATATTCGGGGGACCATGTGGTATGGACATGGAACAGGGTCGGCTGTGTGTAAAGCAAGTGCCTTAACCCCTGTACTGTCTCCCTGGTCCCTGGATGGGTGTGATTTGTATTTAGCTGAATTCAGATGAGATTTTATTTAAGAGAACAGAAATCAGGGGTAAAGGGCAGGGAGCACCCCAGATTTAGCAGGATCCTAAGCAGGATCCCCAGAATGGAGGGAATTTATAGTCAAAAAAGGATGGGATACTAGCAAAGAGGGTGGAAGCAGATGAACTCCTTGCTGATGCTCAGGAACCCCCAGGCTGGTGGGTTTTAAATCCCACCTTCAGGAGAGCAGAAACTGCAGTGAGGTTGGCTATTAAGTCTGGGGTGGAGCTTGGCATAAAGAGCTCTATTTTTCTTTGGTTTTTATTGGCTGCACCCAGTACTTAAGTTTTACTCCTGGATCTGTGCTCAGGGATCACTCTGGTGCTGCTGCTTGGTACCAGCAAACCAATGTCGACTAACAAAAACAATAACAAAGAAGGTTTAACTTGCAACAAAAGCTTAGTAAAACCCCAGACAAGGATGTAATGTCCCCATGGTAAAGCACAACAATTTTCACAAATTTTCTTCTATGGGAATATTTTTGGATCATTTCGTTAGTCACTTAATAATAACAAGCAATAGAAAATAAATTATTGAGGACCTGCTATAGGGGCAGGCTTGGGGGATGGTTGGGAAGATGGAGACAATGGTGGAGGGAAGGTGACAGTGGTGGTGGGATTGGTATTGAATAATTGTAACAAATCATCATGAACAACTTCGTAAACCACTGTGTTTAAATAAAGTGGGAGAAAAAAAAAGAAGTGGGCATGGCTGCATGCAAGGTAAGCAGCTTAACCCTGTGTTCTCTTCAACTTGGATCTGAGGGGTTTTTTTGTTGGCTTTTTTTCAATGGAAAATAATTGTATGGATTTTTTTAATAATAAAAATGCCAAGGTTCATATTCTATAACTGGATCTATAATTGGGGAGTTCTGGGGATCCAACTCCTCTTCAGTTCCAATTTACTTTGTTAAAAAAAAAAAAGAGAAATCTACAGATTCTTCGTACTTGTACTGCTTCCTAGCCCAGTAAAGCACTATATAAAATATTTCTCTGTCATTACTTGCCACAGAGGAAACGTTCTAGCAATGTCTCTGTAAGCATTTTCTAACATTTCTGGCAGTTTTCCACTTGAGATATTTTTCCCTCTTAAAAAATTTAGCTACTGGACACTCTGGTGGTGGGTGTGTATTGGCATAATGTATGTATGGAATGATCACAAGCCATACATCATTGTTTATCAACATTAGCGGGTGAAATTAGCTACCTAACATACTTGAGAACTGTGTAGGGAGAGCTCAATGGACTGAGCAATGTTTTTAATGGAAAAATTCAGGAGGCCTGGGTTCAATTCCTGCATCCTATTCCATGGTCCCCTGAGAACTCTCAGGAATTAACCCTAAGCACAGAGCTAGGAGTAGTCCCTGAATACCATGAGCTTGTAACAAGCAAACACAAGAAATAACTGTTAGAAATGGGGTGTGTGGCTCAAGTGTTAGAGCACATCTCTTGCATGTGCCAGACCCCTTGATTTGATCCCTAAAACCTCATGGTCCCTGGAACATCCTTGGGTGTAACCTTAGTAGTGCTGAGGCCCCTACTATAGCACACCACTGGGAGCATCCCCCTCAGTAATTAAAAAAGAAGAAAGGTTAGCTATGAGATATGTTTAATATAGCTTTCATTTTAAAATTTTCCAGATTCCTTTTAAATTTGAAAATGCTTTTTATCCTTTTGAGTATTCCCTTAAAGGGGAACGGTATTGAGAACTGAAAATTTGTGTCTGTCGACATTCATTTGTTTAAACTCTAACCTCTCATGACAGAGGAGGTGGAGTGTCCGGAACATGATTAGGTCCTAACTGTAAGCCCTCCCTGTGGCATTAGTGCCCTTTTTATAAGGGATGTGAGAGTTTGTGTGTGTGTGTGTCTCTCTCTCTCCTCTCTGCCATGAGAGGTAGAGGATGGTCATTTGCAGACCCCAAAAGAGAGCCTCAGCAGATGTCAGATTTGCCAAAAACTTCACCTTTATCTGACATACTTGAGAACTGTGAGAAGGGGTCATTTCAGCCTCCCAGCCTGTGGTGTTATAAGCTGCTACAATATGATATAGTAGCTGCACTAAAGCTGGAGTTTCTGTTAACTTTATGACTTTCAACCTGAAGTGGGGAGTGTTCTGGGGATGGAGGGAGGCCGATTTTTAGGAGGGAGATGAAAGCATCCAAATAAAAGGACCCTTGGGGCTGAAGCAATATAGCACAGCAGGTAGGGAGTTTGCCTTGCACATGGCCGACCTGGGTTCGATTCCCAGCATCCCATATGGTCCCCTGAGCACTGCCAGGAGTAATTCCTGAGAGTAGAGCCAGGAATAACCCCTGTACATCACCAGGTGTGACCCAAAAAGCAAAAAAAAAAAAAAAAAAAAAAAACAACAACAAAAACAACAACAAAAAACTAAACAACAACAACAAAACAAATAAAAGTGCCCTGACTTTGAAACGATGCACTTGGGTGTCCTCCTCTTGAAGACCAGGGTCTCCTTTCTTTCCTACTTATTTCCAGTAGTTTTTCTCCTAAGTGGAATCTGGTAATTCAAGACATCTGTTCATTTGCGTCCTGCCTTCCATTTGTTTTTCAAATCCCAGTACACGTTTTAATCAGGCGAATCCAGGAACATGAAAGAGATAAGAGGAAAAGTGTGTCCCTAGTGTGCTATGGAGACAATGGTGGTGAATTTAGTTTATGTTTTCTAAATGAAGAGGGCTGGAGAGATAATACAGCAGGTAAGGTGCTTGCCTTGCATGCTGCTGATCTAAGTTCAAATTTTAGGATGAAAATAATCTCCTGAGGAGCATTAAGAATTACTAATAGCCAGCAATAACCCCTAAGAGTCACCGATATGCCCAAAAAACACCCTTAAAAACAACCCAAATGCATCTGATCTCCATGTATCTGGAAGGCAGCTTAACTTCCCACTGTATTACTGACGTTATTCATGCACTTTGATTCCACTGTTCTTCCTGCATTAACATACGCCTCAGAGACCTGGGCCCTACTCAAACAGGATGAGAACGCATTCGGGTCTCCCAAAGAGGAATTGAAAGAGCTGTGCTTGGAGTATCACGTTTCACTCAAATGAGAGAAAGAAACTGGAGTTCCAACCTCCGTCGACGATCAAGAATCAGGGACGCTGTCTCATTTGCCAAGGCATCAAAAATCAGATGGGCTGGTCACGTAATGAGATTTGGAGACGACCGCTGGCCTAGAGCTGTTACCGACTGGATTCCACGGGATGTCAAAAGACTGCATGACCGCCCACCTACCAGATGGTCAGACTTCTTCATCAAGATCATGAATGATCGGTTTGAGGCTCTTCGTGTTCCTAGAACAAACAGACACCATTGGGCTACACTAGCACGCGACAGGGACAAATGGAGACATTACTGGTGCCCGCTTGAGCAAATCGACGATTAAAGGGAAGTCAAGTGATCAAGTGATCAAGTGATTCGTGCACTTAGGAAGCATCTGATTCTTTTAACCAGAGCTCCCTATATGCTAATGATGTAATCTCTTCTTTTCTCTATCAGTGAGGTTTCTTTAACCTATATCAAGTAGCTCTAAAAAAGTTATCATGAACCGAGTTATGATTGGAGCAGTTCACCGGAACAGCACTGTAGCACTGTCTTCCTGTTGTTCATCGATTTGCTCGAGCAGGCACCAGTAACGTCTCCATTGTGAGACTTGTTGTTACTGTTTTTGGCATATCGAATATGCAACGGGTAGCTTGCCATTCTTTGCTGTGTGGGCAAGAAACTCTCGGTAGCTTGCTGGGCTCTCCAAGAGGGGCAGAGGAATCAAACCAGGGGCAGAGGTATCAAACCAGGATTGGCCGCGTGCAAGGAAAACGCCCTACCCACTGTGCTATTGCTCCAGCCCATAACAGCAATACAGTTAATTATTTCAGAGTAAAGACATGAAAAAAGTTTCCAGAATGGGAAGCACCTAGTTAAACATGGATTGATAAAGCAAACAAAACAAATTAGGTACCTGTAATAAGTTATCAGTTTTTTCTTGCACTTATTTTTTAGAAATACAAGGGAAATCATAATCAAATAATATGGCCACTTCAGAACTCCAGAGTCACATAGATGGAGAGGAACTTATAGACCACATAAATCAATTCGCTTGTTTTGCAGTCAAGAAAATGAATTGTGAAGCACTCTGACTTACACAAGGGCATTGCTAAATAATAGAAAAGTTAGAACAAGAATAAAATTTTCTTTTTCCTGGCCCCGGTGTTTCTCTCTTATGAAACTTGCTCTGTTATGAGGTCCTGATATACAGTCCCAATATCCACATCATAAAAACTGATGTTCTGGGGTCCAAGGAGAAAACTCAAGGGACTATGTGGGAGGTATGGGTTCAATTTCTGGCTCCACATGGTCCCCTGAGCACCACAAAAATTTATCCCTGAGCACAGAGCTGCAGTAGTCCCCAAACACTGCCAGGTGTGGCCCCCAAAACAAATACAAAAACAAACAAAAATGTTCAGTGTTCTGAGTTGAAATATGTCAGTCTGCCTTGAACACGACTC